AAGGAAAAAAAAATCAAAAACGATTATAGTATATATATGTATATACCAAAACCTTGATTAATTAATTTTGTGTGACTTTCTAACTAAATAAAATTTTGTGTATAAAATTCTTAAAATAGGAACATCTTGACAATATCTTGTTCTTATGAAATTTTCCTTAGGAATTTAAAACAACCATACATAAAATCAATGTTTTCAAAAAGCTATATGATTATTTTACTTAACTCACCAATTAATTATGTTTACCGGCACATTACTTGAATAAAACATAACGTACATTACTCTATGTTTTATCTGAGTACCTTACTTATGTGTGTATGTGTATAGATTCCTTAAAATTAAAAAAAGCGAAAAATACATGGATCGCCTACACAAAAACATCATTATGATGGGTCATAATTGATTTTCACATCACAATTTTTCTCGATTTTTTATTTTTTTCATTTTATATAATTTAATTTTATATAGAAACAATATTAGATACAGTGATTTTAAGAGAAAACTATTTAAGTTTAAAATAAATTAACTTCAATGTTCAGATTAAATTTACATAAAATGGAGTAGTTTTTCCACATTACTTTCAACTTTTATTATTTTGAAAATTATTGTTAAGAATTAAAGAACAATTTGTCTATTTTTGCTTAAAATGCATTCTTTGTTCATAATCAGATGAATTTTTATCTTTTGTTGACCATAAAATATTTGAAATAGATTTTGATTTTAATTCTAAAATTAGATTTGTTAATATTGTCATAAATGTATTTTTTGGTAATTTGTAAATTTGATAATTTGTAATTTGTTTGTTCAGTCAAAGAGATATTAATGCATTATCAATATAAAAAATAGTGGTGGTGGTCCATTGTTGTTTTCATTTTTTGATTACAAAATTTTGTATAAATAGGTTAAGAATTTTTAAATAAAGGTGGAGTAACATTTAAACATTAAAACTATATTGTTCTAATTTGAACTTTCATTTTCAGCAATAATATTGTATTGAATTGGTGATACACTAATTTACCCTGCAATATTATTCAAATTATAAGAATTTAAGGGAATCATTTGTTGCTACAATAAATGATTCAAGCTTGCCTGGTTAATTATTAATTAAAAGGCAAATAATCCTGTACTGAATTAGTGATACACTAATTTACCCTTCAGTATTATTTGAGAGCAATCAAGGACCTATTTTTTAAATATAAAATAACCGAAGATTTGTTCATAGTGGTGACCCCGACGTGATCAACCAAGGCGAGATTATCAAGCAGCGACATTAAGAGAAGTTCAAGAACGTGTTTCAAAAATTATAAATAATGGACAAACTAGCAGAAAACCAGATAGTTCTTTCCAAAAAATTGTAAGAGGTAAGCTTAGCATACGATAGCTTACCAGAAGAAAGAAAAACATTGTAACTTGTGGAAGACAGGCAATGTAAAATAGATGAAATTTGGAAGAATTATGAGAAAAATGATGATACAATAAGAAGTGAATTCGGCGAAATGTTGCACCATCTTTACTTCGTTCAAGATCATCATGGCAACACGCAAAAGTTATATGAGAGCATCAAACAAAAATTGATGAGAAAAAAGGAAAGCTTAATTGAACAAAAGGAACAATTAAGTGATGAAAAAGTTGAAGCTGGACCTAGCGAGGAAGTGCCAGACTTAATAAAATTTTGCGAAAAGAGTGAGTCTTCTTTCATAAATACATTATCAAATATTTTGTTAGAAGGCCAATCCAAAGAATATTACGAGGCTAGTTTGAATTTACTAGAAAACAAATTTAATAAAGTACAAGAAAATTATCAGAAGATTATGCAACATGTAAGCAATCCCATCCAGTTTGATCATGATCCAGAAAAAATAGATGAATTAGAAGAAGAGTGGTTTAAAATGACTGTTAAACTAAAAGAAAAGTGTGCTGGTGGGAAAGTTAAAAAAGAAATAGGCGATACTGCACAAAGAGTTACTCCGAATATTAGTCTACCAACCATTGAAATACCTAAATTCAATGGCGATTATTTTAAGTGGGTGCAGTTTCGTGATTTATTTACGCAGATGGTAGATAAACAAAGTCAATTAAATGACACTACAAAAATGTGGTATCTAAAAATGAATCTAAGCGGAGAAGCTGAGAAATTAATTAGACATTTGACTGTTACAGAGTCAAATTACAATACAGCCTGGAAGATTTTAAGTAACCGATATGACAATAAAAGATTACTAATATCAAATATATTAGAAAGGTTGCTTAATCAATCAAATATTACCATTGGTTCAGCTAAACAAATAAAAGCAATGTTAGATACAACACAAGAATGCATTATGATGCTGGAAAATTTAGAATTGAAAGTTTTTGAAAATTGGGATCCCATTTTATTACATATCCTCCTGAAAAAGTTAGATAAAGACAGTCATGCCCAATATGAACAGTCGTTGAAGTCACCAAAAGAATTGCAGTCACTTAAAGGTTTTTTGAAATTTATGGATTACAGATTTCAATCGATGGAAGCAGTTGGTGTCAAACAAATAAATAATAATCAAAAATGGGAAAAAGGTTCATCCCATATAGCCGCCATAAATAATGAAAGATGCATAATATGTAACAAAGCTCATTCGATCTACAAGTGTGAAAAATTTTTGGGCATGAAATTAATTGAAAGAGAAATTGAAATAAGAAAACATAAACTATGTTATAACTGTTTAAAGAAAGGACATAGTATGAATAATTGCAGGTCATTTGGATGCAGAGTATGCAAAAGAAAACATAATACGTTGCTGCATAAGTAGATATAAAAATATTAATAAAGAGACGAACGAAAAAAAAGAAATAAATTTAAATAAAGAAGAAGCATCAAATATGGCTGGAGTCTGTGAAGTAAAATCCGAGAGATATGTGTTTCTAGGCACTGCTGTTATATCGGCCTTCAAAAAGAATCAAGAAGCAATTGATTGTAGAGTATTATTAGAGTATTATAACTGAACTTCATATCAGAAAAATTAATGCGGCGTTTAGGTTTAGATACCCAAAATGATAAATTAAATATTTGTGGTATCGGGAAATCTAGCATTTCATCAACAAGCAGAGTAAATATCAAAATTGCTTCAAAAACAGCAAATTATGAAATAAATATAGAAGCCTATGTTATCAAAGAAATTACAAGTTTACAACCACAGCGACATATAAATATTGCAGAATGGCCTCTTCAAAATGTCGTTTTCTCAGATCCCAACTTTAATGTACCTAGACGAATAGATATGCTATTGGGAGCTGAAATGTATGCAGAGTTCATGAGAAATGGCCAAATTAAAATAGGGCCTAATTTACCAACATTACAAAAAACCGTCTTTGGCTGGATGGTTTTTGGAAAAATGAGTTTCCATAATGAAATAGAAGCATTTTCTGGTGTTACCAATGAAGAATTGGACGAATCATTAATCAAGTTTTGGAATATAGAAGAAGTTAGAGATTCAGAAAAGCTACTTACTAAATCAGAACAATTGTGCGAAGAGCATTTTAAAAACACAACTAGAAGAGATAAATCGGGAAGGTTTGAAGTCAGCTTGCCAATTCTGGGTGATTCAACAATTCTAGGAGAATCAAGAAGAATAGCTTTCAGAAGGTTCTTAAATATAGAAGAGAAATTAAGAAAAAATCAGCAACTTAAAATGCAGTATACCGAATTTATGAAAGAATATGAAACGTTAGGACATATGGAGAAAGTCTCTGCTGATGATATACCTAAAAATCATTATTTTATTCCACATCATTGTGTTCTTCGAGAAGAAAGTACAGCAACAAAATTAAGGGTAGTTTTCGATGCGTCGTACAAAACTACTTCAAACTTGTCGTTGAATGACATCATGCTTAAAGGTCCAAACATTCAAGACGATCTTTTCGATATTCTAATTAGGTTCAGAACATACAAATACGTAATTACGGCTGATATAAAGAAAATGTATCGGCAGATAAAAGTCGCTGAACAAGATCAGAATTTACAAATGATAATGTGGAGAAATGATCCAAAAGACAGCATAAATTATTATAAATTGAAAACCGTTAGATATGGTACGAGAGCTGCTCCATACTTAGCAGTAAGATGCCTAAAGCAATTAGCAAAAGATGAAATGTTGAAATACCCTGCTGCAGCTAAAATTATTGATGATTTTTACGTAGACGACATTATTACTGGTAGTGATACACTGGCAGAAATTATAACTTTAAAAAAGCAGCTTATCAGCATGTTAGAAGCTGGCAAATTTCCATTACATAAATGGGCTTCTAACCATGAGAAAATCATAAGTGATATTCATCCACAAAATAGAGAAACGGAGAAAATATTCACAGAAGAAAACTTCGGCTATATAAAAACTTTGGGTTTAACATGGTTCCCTTCAAGAGATTGTTTTGCATTTTCAACAGGATGGTCAGAACCTGAAATAATAACGAAAAGAAAAATAGTATCTGAAACAGCAAAGTTATTCGACCCTCTAGGTTTCGTTAGTCCAGTTATTGTAAAAGCAAAGATTTTAATTCGAAATTTATGGAAATCAAAAATTGATTGGGACGTTGAAGTAAGTGAAAATATCATCAATGAGTGGAGCGATTTCCGGCGAGACTCAACAATGCTGAATTATCTTACAATCAAAAGACATGTGTTCAACGAAAACGTAGTACAACGATTTGAACTACATGGTTTTTCAGACGCTAGCCAAAAGGCTTATGGTGCCGTAATATATTGTAGAACAGTCGATATTTATGGAAACATAACAAATAAGTTGCTCTCTCAAAATCCAAGGTAGCTCCAACAAAAATTACAACGATTCCTCGTCTCGAGCTATGTGCTGCAAAATTCTTGACAAAATTATAAAATGCTGTCAAGAAAAAGGGGTACAGTTTCATTTCGCCCCACCAAGATCTCCTCACTTTGGAGGACTTTGGGAAGCAGCTGTAAAATCTGCGAAAAAATTAATTAAACGTGTATTATTATCAGCTAAAATGTGATGCCTGGCATGTTAGTTTTAATAAAAGAAGACAACACGATACCTTTACATTGGCCAATGGGACGAATACAGGAAGTTATAATTGGAAAAGATGGTTTAGTACGAGTGGCGACAATAAAAACCAACAAAGGCATATTTAAAAGGGCTATACATAATTTAGCTCCATTGCCTGTTGAAAATAATGGATCACAGGAAAATGCAACCAAAGAAGAGTTGGCAGAAACAGCTTCAGACGACAAAATTCAAAATAAAAGAAAGACTGAATCATCAAATACATTTAAAAAGCGAAAGAAATATTCATTTAATGCAACTATTTTTATAGTTACACTTCTTTTATTACCGCTAATAGTACTAGGATATCCTACATCGTCAGCACCGTTTAAGATAACACACTTTAATGAAAACAAGGGCGTATACATTGACAATATTGGCTCCAGTAAGTTAATAAAAGGTGAATGGCAGATAATAGCATTTTACAACCTGACAAAATATTGGCGCACGTATTCGTCATTAAAGGTAGATGTTCAGAAATTAAATAAATTAACAAAAAACACAACTGATCATCATTATGCATCTACATTAGTTGAACAATTTAATTATCGACTACAGGAAATAAATGAAGGAAATCAACTACTATTTTCCAGCTCATCATTTATAAATCGGAAACAACGAGGACTGATTAATGGTGTTGGCAATTTAGCAAACTTTTTATTTGGTGTGTTAGATGACAATTATGCTAAACATGCAGAAAAGGAAATTTTAAATGTAAAAGCAAATGAAAAATATCTACTAAACCTGATGAAAAATCAGACCTCAGTAATAGAAGCAACAGAACATCTGGTAAAAGTATCCCAGGAGAATTATGTAAAAAATTTCCACAGAGTAAAAATAGAATTGAATGAAATTATTTATAACGTGAATAATCTTTCTCGTAAACTGCAAAGCGAAAAGATTTATCAAATAGTATCATTATTTGCGCAATATATATCATTAACAATTGATGAATTCAAGAAAATGCAAGAAAAGCTGTTAGACATTCTAGTTGATCTTCATCATGAAAAAGTCAGCCCTACAATATTGTCTCCTAACCAGCTGCAGATGCATCTAGAACAAATAAAGCAGCACCTATCAGAAGATCTAGTGTTGCCTCCTGTTTCTGACTTGTATGGGTTGATGACAATAAAGTGTAAAATGGGAATAAAAAATGCAATATTTATATTCACAATCCCCTTATTATCAAAAGAAAATTTCGATTTATTTCAACTAATACCATTTCCAGCCAATTTGAACAACAGCTATATGAGCGTGCAACCATTTACAGAATTTATAATGATTGACAAATTCGTAGACTCAGCATATAAACTATCAGAGAATGACTTCGAAAAATGCATCAAATTAAATGACGACAAATATTTATGCTTACAAGTTCGACCATACTATACCAAAATGGCTAATAGTCTCCAGTGTGAGTTTCAACTTTTTAAACAACAAAGTTTAAGTAATAGCTGTCGCTTAAATATAAAAAGGCCCAAAAGAACTTGGAAGCAATTACGTAAATCAAACAATTGGCTGTATGCGATCCCACAGGAATACATGCGCAATATCATATGCAGTAATGAAAGATATCAAGTTAAACTATCTGGAAATGGCATGATATCCTTTTATGAAGACTCGTACTTTATCAAAAGATGAATTTACAATAAAATCATATAAAACTCAAACTACAGACATTGGGGAAATAAGTCAACCATTTATATACATGCCAGATGAAATGAATGTTACAATAGCCAGTATAAATTGGGAAAATTTCAATTACACATTAAACAATAATTTAAACGCAGAATATAAACAAATTAAGACGCAAATAAAGTTTTTACAACATCAGGAAAACGGTATTGCTAACATAACAGCCATAGATTCTCATCAGTTTGCAGTTAGTTATTTAGCTCTTATTCTCGCTGCAGCTTTAGTCATCATGTACATCAGAAAAGTTATCACTCATCAAAAATTTAATATAACGAATGCAGAACCATCAGTTCGATTTAAAGCTGAAGATTTTGAAGTTGATGTACGAGACATCAACGAGGGGGAGAAATGTTAAGAATTAAAGAACAATTTGTCTATTTTTGCTTAAAATGCATTCTTTGTTCATAATCAGATGAATTTTTATCTTTTGTTGACCATAAAATATTTGAAATAGATTTTGATTTTAATTCTAAAATTAGATTTGTTAATATTGTCATAAATGTATTTTTTGGTAATTTGTAAATTTGATAATTTGTAATTTGTTTGTTCAGTCAAAGAGATATTAATGCATTATCAATATAAAAAATAGTTAGTCATTTTTATCAATATAAAAAATAGTTAGTCAATAGTCATTTTTTGATTACAAAATTTTGTATAAATACTCGTAGGTTAAGAATTTTTAAATAAAGGTGGAGTAACATTTAAACATTAAAACTATATTGTTCTAATTTGAACTTTCATTTTCAGCAATAATATTGTATTGAATTGGTGATACACTAATTTACCCTGCAATATTATTCAAATTATAAGAATTTAAGGGAATCATTTGTTGCTGTCCGTCCGTCCATCCCAGCGATAACTCAAAAACTAATTGAGCTAAGTTCACCAAATTTTCACAAACGATTAATTATAGTAAGTGCCAGAACCCTATTTAAATTGGACATGATCGGGATACTGGTTCGGGTAGGTGCCGCACAACTTCAAAATTTATTTGGCTATATCTCAGAAAATAGAAAAGCTGTGGTAATGAAATTTCACACAAACAAAAATATTAGTAGGGCCAATGTGTCTAATAAAAGTCGTTGAAATTTCTTGGCTCCTGCTGGTAGTTGCCATACAACTTCAAAAGTTATTTGGCTATAGCTCAAAGAAACTGTAGAAGCTGTGATATTGAAATTTCGCGCAAGTAAATGTATAAATAGGGTCGATATGTTTGATAAAACTCGTTAAAAATTTATTGGCTCTTTTTGGTTGCTGCCATACAACTTCAAAAGCTATTGGACTATAATCCGGAAACTATAAAAGCGGTGATATTGAAATTTCACAAAAACGAATATATTAGTAGGGCTAATGTGTTCGATAAATGTCATTGTAAATGCTTGGCTCTTTCTGGTAGCACCCATGCAACTCCAAAAGTTATTTGGCATTATCTTAGAAGTTATTGATATTATAATATAGAAAACTCGTGAAAACAAGTGTATTATTAGGGCTGATATGTGATAAAAATCATTGAAATTTCTTGACTCGTTTTTTAAAGCAAATATTAAAAACAGTACTAAAATTTTGCATAAATCAATATGGTAATACGGCCACTTAAAGTCATAGTCTGTCCCACAGTCATCTATGGCATATTTATTCGCACACGGGATAACAAATAACAAATTCGTAACGGTATCACAGAGTTAACACGGTCAACTCTATTTTTTTTTCGTTTTTTTTTTTAATTTTATTTCTAAGAGCATAAGACGAAAGTTCTTAAAGCATCAAATTGAAATTTTAAGCTTTGTTTTCTCTGTGCTCATGTAGATGGAGACCAACATATAAATTTATTTTAATGAGTATGTTAAGAAAAAATATGTAGGCATGTATGTATTTATGTATGTGTTTATAAAGGTATATTTTTTATAAATTCATAAAATGTGAAATTTTGCTAATATTATTAGAAGAGTTCACCGACTATCTGTTTTAGCACTTTTCCAAAAAATTTAAAAAAAAAAGTGCTTATTAGTTTCACTCTGTCCGTCCGTCCGTCCGTGTGTCTGTTTACAAAACTTCTACACCTTTGAAGATAGAAAGCTGAAATTTTGTACGTAGATAGATCTTTACTAGAAACTTATTTCCGTAGAACAAAATTTTTACCTATCTCTCCCCCTCTAGAAGTTATACCCTACCAAAACCATAAACATGGCCTTTTTTAACTATTTGTTGCAATGAAACCAAAAGCATTTTTGAAATTTTGCAAACGCATAAAGGCAGCGGCTTGCTTCCTCTAGCGCGGTATACTATAGCTAAACTTTAGAAAAACAAAGTGGCCGTTCAAATTTACTGTTATCTAAAGTCCTTTTTTTCCAAATGTCGTTTTTCTTCTAGACCCCAGCCTGTTTGAGACCCCAGCTTGAAGTTTTAAGGGCTCTTAGACATTAAGAAATAGTTCATTTCGTTAGAAGAAATTTTTTTCCATCTCCACCCCCTCTCAAATTATCACCCCTTGAAATTTGTAAAATTTGAATTTTTGACACCTTATATTTCCGAAACCGCAAGCTTTTTCAAATTTCTATAAACACAAAGAGCTAACGGTAAATTCCATGACATTAAAAAATATAATTATTTTTCTTAACTCACATAATTAAACCTTAAAATCGAGCATTATGTTAACCCCTCTTTATATTAAATTTTACTTTATTTCAAGGACTACATATACGAGTATGCATCATTCTAAATATTATATGCAATCCTAGAAATTGCTTTGTATATGAATGAAAATAATTTTAATAGTGTGATAGGTATACATAGACGGTATTTAAAAGCAGAATTTTCACTTGCTGAAGGGAAAAGTGCTACAATACAAACCATTGGTTTGAGTCAACTTTATTTTTTTAAAATATGCATAATTTTCAAGTAAAAATTTACATAGTAATTTGAACCAACATAATGTGTGATCTTAATAAAATTCTTCTAATTTTTAAAAGATAAAAAGATCTTTATCAGCAGGTACATAAAATTAACTAAAACGAGAAAAAAAGTAGAGTTGACCTTGTCAACTCTGTGATACCCGTACGAATTTGTTATCCTATGTGCGAATAACTAATGTGCCATAACTAATTATGGGGCAGACTATGACTTTAAGTTGCCGTATTACCATATTAATTTATGCAAAATTTCAGTACTATGTGTTTTTCAAAATACTGGTTGTGCCAAACTACTATTGAAGTTGTATGGCAGCTACCAGAAAGAGCCAAGAAATTTTAGCGAATTTTATCAAGTACATCGGCCCTACTAATATATTCACTTGTGTGAAGTCTCAATATCACGGCTTTTATAGTTTCTGAAATATAGTCAAATAACTTTTGAAGTTGTATGGCAGGTACCAGAAGGAGCCAAGTAATTTCAACGACTTTTATGAGACACATTGGCCCTACTAATATATTCGTTTGTGTGAAATTTCAATACCACAACTTTTATAGTTTCTGAGATATAGCCAAATAAATTTTGAAGTTGTATGGCAGCTACCCGAACCGGTACCCCGGTACAATTTAAATAGGGTTCTGGCACTTACTGCAATAAATCATTTGAGAAAATTTGGTGAACTTAGCTCAATTAGTTTTTGAGTTATCGTTCGGACGGGCGGACGGACGGACGGACGGACGGACGGACGGACGGACGGACGGACGGACGGACGGACGGACGGACGGACGGACGGACGGACGGACGGACGGACAGACGGACGGACGGACGGACAGACAAAGCTAAATCAACTCAGAATTTGACGCTGATCAAAAACATACACTTGAGTCTATATCTAACACCGTTATTTCTTAGCGTTACAAACGGTAAGGCAAATTTAGTATACCCTTCGAACATACGTTCGTACGGGTATAAAAAGTGTTCGCAGACAAAGTTACATGACTTAATTATCCTACAATTCGACGTTTTATCTAATTTGTAATGCAAAAATTTTACTTTTTTTTCTAATTTTCCATAACGTTTACTTTTCCTTCTTATTCTGCATAACCAATCTTATACTTTTGATTATATCATTGCTTATGATGTTATTTGAAATTGTGAAATATTTAAAAATTATTGCTTATGAGTCATTAAAATAAAATTGACCTTCAAATATGATTATATACAGTGTCACTTAAATTTAAACTACATATGTACATACACATATATAATTTACATGTACATGTAAATGTTATTATTTTATAGTAAATAATATACATATAGCGTACCGGGTACAATTATTAACACTCTTAAGCAGTATTTCTCATTGAACTTTTCTATACAGAATTATGAAAATTTGAGTATCGGTAAAATATAAATATTTCTCTTTCATTATCATAAGCTAAAATTTATTAAATATTAAAATAAAATATTAAAAATTAAATTTGTTTGCGTGAATACTAAAAAGTACAATTATTGACACCTTGGTACAACTATTGACATAGCTCGGTACAATTATTGACAACCATATACAGCTATTGACATGGTCTTAATATACAATTATTAACAAACTTATATGAGAAAATAAAAAATAACCAAATTTGAAAACTGATTCGTACGTTTTTATTAGTTTTATTTGTTACATTTTGTGTGACCCTTTTACAAGTGCCAAGTTTAACCAGACTTCACAAGTCTGAATCTAGAAAAAAAATGTATTTTAAGCGTTCTGAATCAAATTTTTCCCTTGTTTTATTTTTTTAATTTTTTCTATCTAAATAATTTCGTAATAGAGAAATTTCTTATAGAATTTTGCCCAGCTGCTTAAGCTTTAATTTAAGGCCTCAAACATAAAAATTTTATGGTACAGAAGATATAGCACTAAAACCATTTCTAAGTGAAGATTTTAAAGGCCTTATTTTTCACTATTTTTCACTTTTACAGATTTTAAGTGCCGTACTTATCAACTATCATTAATTTTCGATGACAAGAGTCACTCGAAAAAAAAAAAGTTAGCATTTTTAAGAACCATTATTTTGATAAAAAATCCGAATTTTAATATTTTTATTGAAATGTAACAAATAAGAACAAAATTGAAACGAAATCTTGTACAAATTTTTAGTTTGAAAAACAAAAATTGATTTTAAAAAATTTGAAATTTTTGAAAAGAAAATATAGAATTTTATATTTGGAAAAATAAAAAAAAAATCTAGAAATCAAAAAATTTTTTTCGAAACATTTCTTGGTAAAGAAAACTGGTAGGTTTTTAATTTTTGCCAGTTTTTATAAGAAATGGTACCTATATGGTTTGAAATTTTTAAATGCTTTTTTCTCACATTGGATACAATTTTAGAATTTGAAAAAAATATTTTCGAAATCTAGACATCATTTGGCATCTGAAGTTATTAAAATTAT